CTTGCTACTTGAAGGATGACAATCTGATCACTACATTAGGATTGCTATTTTTAATTGACAACTTATTTACTTCACTAAGTTATCATATTTTTATAATAAATAAATTATTTTTTTATATTTTATAAAATTTTAATAAAAATTAATTGTAATTTAAAAAAGTTTTATAAGTAATATATTTCAATTTTATATAAAAATTTCAAAATACTATATAAAACTATATAAAAATGATCTACATACCCTCTACTTTTAAATAATATTAAGATTATATAAAATATATTATTTTTTATAAAATACTATATTCATGAAAATAGGTAATTATTTTACATACTTTTTGATACATTTTTTTTGAATTTATAAACTTTTTATATAAAAAGTAGGTCACCAAATATATCATAAGAAAAATTTTTAGCAAAATAAATTTTGAAAAACAACTGCATTATAAAAATAATATAAAAATTTAAATAACTATTTTATAATAAATAAATTATTTTTAATTTAAGACTTTTTTATTTAATTGCATTTGTGAAAAATTTTTTTAATTTTATTATAATTTTGATTTGATTTAAAGATAAGATTATAATTTTAGTAATTAAATATAATAGAGAAATTAAAAAAATAATATCAAGTTGAGTTAATATAAATGAGTAAAAAATAGTATTATTGTCAAAAATTATCAAAGAAAGTTTGTTTAATGGGTCTATGTGCAGTTTAGTCTTAAAAATAAGATCAAACATGTTATTTAATAATTAGTATATCAGTAATAAGTTCATGAGGCAATTTTATATTAGAGAAATAAACAAGTTGGTGATAATAATTAAAAATACTATTAATAGCCTAAGTATGATATATTGTAAAAGTAATACATCTTTTGTCAGTAGCTTGATTGATTTGTTGTTAAAATAAAAGAGAGTTTTCAAGATGGCAAGCATAAAAGAGTTGTTTTCAGGTTAAATAAACATATTAAAGTCAAGATTAAATAAAGGTTAAGTTGGTAGAGATAAGTAATTGAAAGTTATATTTTAACTGTTTGTTAATTTGAAAGATGTTTTGATTGATATAAGAGATATTGGAGTGTTGAATAAGTTTTTTAACAAGTTTAATAATGTGATCAAGTTTTTTGAAAAATAAATGTAGTAAAGTACTATGAGATAAGTATTAATAATTGTAGCTGCATTTACAAAAATCTTTATTAGAAATAATATAAGTAGTAATATAAATAATAAAGCATTAAATTTTATGTCAAGTAGTTTTAATACTATCATGAGTTTTATTATTAGTAAAAGTTTTGCATAATAGAAGTTGTTAAGATAGCATATCTGTAAAGAATTCTTAGTCCTCTGTAGATATAGCTTTATAATTAAAAATATAGCAGTTAATGTCAGTAAGGGTTTGCTATAAGTATATAAAAATGTTCAAATAGAAAAGAGAATTAGGTAATCACTAGAGATAGAAGTTTAACTATTATTAAGACTATAAGAAGAAAGAAATTGTATATTAAATTAGTTAGTACAAATATAGTCGATACAACTACTACTAGTATTATTAGACTAATTAAAGGGTTTGTTATTAAAATAAGCTCTATATATTAAAATTTTTAAAAAAATTAATAAGTTTTATTTAGAAGAAGAGCTATAAGTGTTGTCCTATATATTAAAGTCATCAAGAATAATAAGGTAGATATGACATTGAAAAGCTTGTTGAATTCAGTTAATTACTGTATTTTGAGTTTGGTTATGAGTAAAGATAAAAGTTAATAATAAGTATACTAATATGATGCAGAGCTTAATATTACTTTGAAAGAAAATATCAAGTGCTATAGTACCTTCAGAATAAGTAAACATGAGGTTTAAGTTAATTATAAATTATAATAGCAGTGTTTTTCATAGAGGTAAGAGAGTTAAATTAGTAATAGGTAAAGAAATTATTATTGTAAAAAAAGAGATAAGTTTTGTTAAAGATTTTAGTTTTTGTAATACTTTCAATAAATATATTATAATTGAAGCAATAATCTTGACATGCTTCTCTTTTAGTAGATTTATTAAAACCTTTAACATTGTATATAGCAATAATTAAATAGAGATGATGTGAAGTTGAATTGGATAAAAGTAAGAAAGAATTACAAATAAAAAAAGTTAAAGAATAGTTGTCAAAAAATAAATCAAATAGAATAAAAATAGAACTAAAGAAGTTAGATTTGAGAGAAAGATTATAAAATATAGGAAGAAAATATAAAGCAATACCAATATAATCTAATAAAAGAGTATTATTAGAAAGATATATATGAGTTTTATTATAAGATAAATTAATAAAAAATATAATACTAGATGCTATTTTGTTGTTATTATATTTATTAATATGTTGAATTAAAGTTTAAATAATTTGACTATAAGAAAGAAATAATAAATTATAATAAAAAAAGAATTTTTAAAACATATATAAAAATTATAAGAAATTAAAGATTTTAGAAATGATCTTGAAAGTTTGTCTTCTACAGAGTCAATAACTATATGCTTGGTTCTCATAGCTGTGCAAGATACCATAGTTTGCTCTATACATTAGGTCTGACTATTATTATTTTGGCCTTTCATATATAAAGGCTTGATAGTCTGCCTTTATATGTTATTCTCCTTACTAACTATAATTAGTTATATTTTTTAATAAAGCAGTAGTTGCATTTATGTATTTGTAGAAGACAAATAGATTTGTATTTGTTTTGTTTATTGTTTGTATAAGTATTTGTAACAGGTAAACTATGTAGTTCTTATTTTATATACTTATGTTAACTCTTATATGATTTTATTTTGCATTTATACTGACTATTTTATAATGTTCAAGGATATATCTATATATATTAGCTTGTATTTTTTTATTTTCCTAATTGTAAACTTCTTGCAGTTATTGTTTTTTAGATATAGACATATACTTAAAACTTTTTAAGTAGTTTTTTTTAATTAGTATTTATATGAATTTTTTTATATAGATCAATTACAAATCTGTTACCAACTTTACTTGATTGTATCACAAATTACAGTTAATAAGCCAATATTTTCCTAATCAACATCCTACTAAAGGCATGGCAATATTTCTAATTAAGTCAACATTCTACTTAAGATATACAAGATTTAATATTCAATATTCATCATCAGTAAAAATTAAACCTTGGACTTTGTTACTTGAAATGTAACAACTTAACTACTTCACTAAGTTGCCACATCCTTTTTAATCAAATTTAATACTTTGACTTCTAATTAGAACTTATTTGTATAATTTATTAATTACTTTTTAAAACAATTGCTTTATAAGTTGGATGTGAAGATATTGGTATTGTTTTATTTTAAAGATATTAAATATTAGTACTATTTTTTTTTTAAAGATTTACTTATACAAACTTTTTATAATTAGAGCCTTCTATAATATTATTATTATATATAATATCTTTTATTTTACAATTAGGTTTCTTTTTAAATATTCTAATTTCAATTTTGTAAATGCATTTGAACTTTTTTACAAGATTTTATATTTAATTTATAACCTATTAAGGTTACAAAAACAAACTTTATTTATGTTTTTAACCTATTTTGAACTGTTAATCTTGTTTGTTTTTGTTTGAAAGATTAACTACTAAATTACAGAACTTAAACCCTTTGTAAAAATAATTAAAAACAATATAATTATAAAAATATTATAAATATTTGACTATAACTAATTTTTTAATAAAATAACTCTAATAAAAAGAATTTTACTATATAAAAATTTATTTTATATTTACTTAATACATTTTAAACAACTAACTAAAAACAATACTTTACTTTTTTATGTCTAAACTTTTTTTATTAAAATGATTTAAATTATTTATATATAAAAATATAACTATATATTAAATAAAAATTTTAATTAATAATTAATTAATACATATATATAGGAATAAGTCAAAATAAATTCATAGATATGGGAATGAGTCAATAGAAATGCACCAAATCTTTTTTAAACAAAAATAACTTAACAAAAACTTAATTAAATTTAGTAAAAATTTTTTTAAATAAATTCTATAATTTGTTAGAATTATTTTTTAAAAAAAATTATAAAATTTGATTAAGTTGTTGTTATCTTTATTTAAAGATTTAAAAATAATTACTTGGAAATAATTTGGTGCATTTCTATTAACTCATTCCATATATTTAATATGTTTAGACAACTAAAGATTTATATACTAGTATATCAAAAACGGATACTTATAATACTCAAAATTTAATATATAAAATTATATTTAAAGTTCTAATAAAAAACTTTTTTTGTAAAATTTTAATATAGGTTATGCCGTACTCTAAACTTAAACACTACCCTAATATTATCCTAATTTCATCTAATTTTTATTCTCAGATTTTAAATTATACTGACCTAAAAATTATGTCCGTGTTTATACATTAAAGTAAATCAATTAATGTTCTATTTTTAATATTATTACTAAATTAAATATAACAAGATTGTTTAAAAAATATACAAGGCTTAAGATTTGATTTATATAAAATTTTATTAATAAATATTACTGAAACTTTACAAATATATAATCCTAATATCAAAATCTTACAAAATTTAAATAAAATTAATTAAATAATTATTTAAAAATAATTTTTTTAAATGTACTAAATTTAGCATACTAAGCCTATGGATACCTATTAAGAATATTCTATAAAAAATGAGAACATATTGATTGTAAATGTTTTCTATATGAATATATTTGTATAATAATGATGGAGTTAATGTTTAGAAATTGAGAAAAATATCAGAAAGAAAAAGAATTAAAATAAAAGACAAGCAAGTTTGGAACATAAGTTTGAATAATTTCTTGTTATCTGGCAGGTATGACGTATGCACTGACGGAACCATATTATTGTCCAAATAAACTCTTGACTAATAGTATACTGATAACTCAAATGATGGATGTATAAATAACAAAGCGATTATTGTTTTGATACAACTCTTTCTTAATATCTACTTCAATGGCGAACAATAAATTACCAACCAATAAAGATGTTGCAAAACTTCTTAAAATTTCACGAGTTCACAATACAGATAAATGTATGGCAAAATGGTTACGGGCAATTGACAGATATAGAGAAGCATCCAATTATGAAAAATCTTTTGAAAGCATATCTAAAGTCATCGAACTTGAAAATTTTCTCTGCATATTTATCACATGGTTAAAATGAATAGATGGGAATGAATATAAGGCTGAAAGTATTCACAACTGTTATGCTTCTCTTGCACGATATTTAAAAGAACATTCAACAATTAAGCCATGCAACATATGGGATTCCTATAAATTTGGAAAGGCCTTACGAATCTTAGATGGTAAAATGAAAAAGCTTCAAAAGAAAGGATTAGGAGAAACTGATCAGTCTGCTGCATTTACGGTAGATGAAATTTTTCAAATTTTAGATCATGAATCAATATCTGGAAATGATAATGAAAGTTTAGTTCGACGTGTATTTTTTTGGCTTTCACTACTTTGTGGTTTACGAGGTGGTGATACAGCCAAATTAAAAGTGAGTGATATAAGTCGTCAACCTCATGGTGGATTGTTTCTTGTACTTATGCATGAAAAAAATAATCAATGTGGTGCCTTGAAGCGTAACAAATATGGAAAGTCAGCTGCAAGAAAATTACCGATCCCTCCTGATAATTCAAATAACTGTTTCAAACCTGTTTATGATATTTTAAAAATGATTTCTCTCCATTCTCTTAATGCTGATGATGCGTTATTTTTAGAAACCTGTAGAGCTAAAAAAGGCATGTGTATACATATATATACATATATATTTATGCATATTCAATATACAGTACTAGTACATATATTAATATACTAATATTACTGTTACTTTATTTTAATATACTGCTTAAGATTTATAAAATGGCATTTGGTTCAAAACTAGTTCTATGGGTGAAAAAAAATTGGGAACTATGATGTCGCAAATTGCAGATCTTACTAAAATCAACTTAGACAATGGACGCAAAATTACTAATCATTCGTTACGTCGAACAGCAATTCAAAGACTTAAGGATTTAAATATTCCAGAGGATGAGCGAATGGAATTCTCAGGACATAGAAGTCGTGAAGGAATAAAGGCTTACAATAACTCAAATGAAGATCAAAAGATTCAGAATACAGCTTTATTAATTCCACTCGATTATGAAGATTTGCCATATGAAGAATTTAACTATTTTCCTGGTAACGGCATAAATTATTTAAATTTCGAGGATAATCCTGAAATTTATGATGGTACATATTTATTATACTATTTAACTTTTAAATAGTACAATATTTTATTAAATCAATTATTTTTTATTTTTTAGATTCAATTTTTATGACAGCAGCAGAAAACTACGCATTTGATAATGGGCCAGAACCATATAATGAATATTAAGGTATAAATTACTCTAATAACTAATTTACAACTAACAGCATATTTTAACTGTTTTGCTACTTTATAGATTCGAGTAATTCATCATCTATCCTACCATCAGCAAGATCGAATTATGACAAAAGATCAACCTTCAGATCCCGTATTCCAAGATTATCAAGCCATCGGTCTCCTTTAAAATCTGTCTCTAATCAAGCAGCACCATATTATATACCAACTTTTCATGATATCAAAAAACTTCATGAATCTTCATTTGATTCTAATAATAAGCAGGAAATACATTACCATTTTCATTATCATTTGTAATATAATTTGCAATTAGCGGTTCCTTTATACCCTGGGTATAACGTTTATTATAAAATATATTTTATTTAAAATTGAGAATTTTAAAAAATTACAATTTGTATGTATCACATGATTTTAATAAACATCTGCGGCAATAATATGGAATTTTTTCCGTCAGTGTATACATAGTACCTGCCGGATAAATTAGCGATATTTCCGAATAATAATTATAAAAAAATTGGAACAAATAAAAATTTTATTATTGAGAACATTAAAAAATAAATTTGTTCTCACAAGCAGTATCTAAAATTAACATGTAGAAGGGCGGAGCGCACATTAAAAAATTTTCCGGACCTTAAAGTGTGCGCCTCGCGTACATATGTCTTAAATTATGGATGCAACGCTCTCATTAAAATATTTAAATTACTATTTTTTTTAAGCTTTGATGTGCACGATATGTATTATGAAACTAACTTGTTAAATAACATCAATGATCAAGATACGATTATTATATCTTTAAATATCTATTTATATCAACTTTGAAACCGAATAAATATATAAAATAATGATTATGCAACTTATTCGGAACTATTTTTTTTTTGCGCACACTAAAAAAAAATTATGTGTACTGCAGCGCACCATGAATGTGCGGCGGCCCACGTTCTTAATATTGGATTTTTGACACTGCTCACGAGAACATAAATCTCAAACCAGATTTCCTACATTGGTAAACGTCATCAATTTCAAACTCTTCCAAGTACTGAATTATTCGACCGATAATATTCCAAATGATAACGATAATGATTAAACCAATAATTAAGTTTTCCAATACCACATATTATTTAATAGATCCTATGTGAATATCAGTATACTTATGATGGAACAAATATGAATTATATTACGAAAATTACAATTGAATTTTTTATATTGATATAAATATTTTGTTTAGCAATTAAGCATACCTTAATGGGTACTGCTATTATTTTTGCTTAATAAAGAGCTATTCGCAACAAAAGCGGCAATGATAATAATCTTGTGACACATGCGATAATCAATTTATAGTAGTTAGGCGTAGTAAAGCATAACGGAAAAATTTGTCCGATGCAGTTGCATCTTACCATAATAACAAATAAACTGTTGTAAAAATCGTAATTTCAAGTCTACAATCTCAAGAAATTACAACAGGGTTAAAATGGGCTTTACCTAAAAACACTCAAAAATCCTGCGGAAACTTTAGATTTACGGAGTTTCCATTCATGAACTCCATTATTAGAGATTAAACAATAAGAGAATTTAATTTGAAGCATAATATGCTGATCCACTACTCTAATTGGATCTTTGCACTGTGATCCTTGTAACTTCGCCACTTTTAAAGAGGACAAGAAAGACCATTGATGTATTGTCTTCGAATCTGCGTGCCATTGCAAATTTACTATTTTACCGATGGCTATTTCATTTTATCAATAAATTTGACAATTTTTGTTTGCTTTGTTTTATGCTTCGTTTTAAATAAGCTTATCTGAAAACTAAACATAGTGAATGAACTCTAACTTATAACAAACTTATCGGTGAAATCGGAGACAGAATTTTAGTTTCCGTGACTTAGATTTAGTTTATCACATAAATTGTAAAAGTGATATGGGCGTGAATCATTCAAAATCCTCTTTTAGAGAGATGCTTTAGGTATCTTTTTATTTGACAATGTTCAATATACAGATTTTAATTCTAACCTATCAAATATCAATGCTTGTGCAAATTAAAATATGCATTTAACAGGAGTATGATTAATGTCATGGAGTTATACAATTGCGGTAAGCAATATTTTAGCTCCGTAGACATATGACCATCGCGTAATGAAATTTGAAAGCTTTTGGTTCCCAACTCGGATAACAAAATATTATATTTATAAAAATTATAAATTCATGCCATTCTTATGAAATCATGCACTCACATTAAATACAAGAAACTTATTGAGGTTACTACACTATTCATTTTTTACTGTTGTGATCACAGAGTTATATTAAACGTCAAATTGTGTACATTTCATTTATCCTAATTTCGGTTACGAAATATTCATCAGAATTTTTTAATGTTTGTTGTACTTTATGAAACATCCGAATTTGGATTACAGGCAGACTCTTCAATAAGTCAGTATCGATCGATCTTTGTTGTAAATTAATAGTACCACTTACCTCTAGAGGCTAACCTTAAAAAAATCAATCTTCTGCTATCGACAAATCAGATAACTTCCAACATATCTTTGTCTGATTGTGTCTAGTATATTGTATTTTTGGCAAACAATTATTATATTCGAATTCCTCATTGAGTAATAGAAATATTTAATGCAAGAACAATCGAAACATTTAATATGACTATTTATCACATTTATTTGTGATGTAGCGATTCTCTATCGGTTTATATGCGTAGTTTTTTTGATATTAGTAATACTCTGTTACACAATTTATTTATGCATAGTAATTTAAGCAATGTTATTTAATTCCCGACAACATTTTATTAATTTCAATTATATTTTGTTAGTGAATTTTCACACTAGGTGATGTCGGTTAAATTGCCTGTCGGGGAAATGACCGTCGGAAATTAATATGTAACCATTCTAAAGAATATCATTATCATTATAAATAATTTTTCGGATAATTATCAAGAAGGTGTTTATGCGCTATTCAGGTTGTACCGATTTCTAAAAAAGAAATCACAATTCTTAAGTTTTTTTTTTATGTTGTCCAAGTTATTATTTGCCATAGGTATCGTCACTTATCTTTTGTTAACTTTACCTAATGGGATTGTCTCGTCATTCGTCAATGGCGTACAGTATAAAAAGAAAAGTATCCCTTACTCTGTTTTGTAGGAAAATTTGCCAGCAATTTGCATTTTCTCGACACATTATTAATCTAAGAGTACATGGTATCATAAGAAGACTAAATCAGTTTGTTCGATAATCTTCGAAAAATGTTATTCTTTTTAGCACATGACTTTTCTATCTTTTTATTTCTTCGCTCACTTTTTGGGGGTCCTTTGAAATCACAATCTCGCACGACCTCAAAATTAGCTATTTTGGGGAGATAATTAGGTGTCTACATACCGGCAATTCTGCTTACAGAGTATATATTACGGTGTTACAGACCCTTATACGTAGTGTTTTTTAAACATCTTATTCACTGGTAATTATCACATACTTTATTACATAATTGATTATATAATCTTAAAAAATACTATTTTGTTTGACTTAGCCATGATGAGTCTGGCAAATTCTAAAGTCGGCTTTCTCTTGTCTTCACTTATATAAAGCGCTATTGGTAACGTAAATAAATCTGCATAATGTTCCTTACAATGTCTCACTATTATTGTGAAGCTTGAATCTTAAGTTACAATTCAAAATAACTACCGTACAGCGCTGCATAAAGTATCCCGGGTATTTTTCAAGAAAGCTGACCTAGATTGAATAATACCCCCAAATATTGGAAGATTGGAGGATAATACAAATAATTGTTACTGATCAATATATACCTTGCTATTAGACATATCAAACCCTATGAAAAGATCGCACTATAATTAAGAAAATTAGATCACAAATCGCTTGTCAAAAAAAGGGGGGATACTACTCCAGGGGAGTACTGTATGCAGCGCTGTACGGTAGTAGGGTCTGCTTGTGATAATTTGGATAATTTGGCTGTACAATATTATAGTTACATATTTCGGAGTTCGGATACAAAGGTATAATCACATAAATAAGTGAATAAACAATATATAAATTATAAAGTCCGTAATAAGATCGTAATAAGGTCATTATAAAAAATCTACTTTAAAATAGGTCTACGCCTCTAATAGGAACCGTTAATGTTACACGACTGATCCTTCGCCCGGTGTGCAGCACATAAAAAATTTATTTTACAATACCAGATCATTTTGCTAACGCCATTTTTATTATAATAAAATGGTGTTGGATTATGATCATAACATGTACTAGCAGAAACATCGACGGTTCTTGTTAATAATAAATATGATCTACATAAACATAAATGAAATTCACGCGTTCATGTACAAGAGAGTTTTTTTAATTTTCTGGTTAAAGCGAACAGTTTTAAATTTGATTTCTTTGAATGAAATGAATTAACTTTATATCAACCCAGCAAAACAAGAATAATGGGAACCAATGTTATTTTATTTCTATCCAATTTTTTATTTAATTTTTTTTATTTTAAACTATTTTTATTTTTTATTTTCAATTGATCTTATCCTTATCTTTTTGTTAAACCGTGACACTGCCTCACATATTTATATGCTAACAGGTTTTATCATAGTTCGTATTTATTTTTCACTAAAAAAACGCGTAATTTTGAATCAAAATAAGGATAATTCTTTTTTACAGATTGTTTCTTTGTTCTTTATTTACATTTGAAGCAATTTGTGTACAGCAAAAAATTTTCCAGGATTTCCTAGACGTTGAAAGTTTATTGATGATGCAAAATACATTACTATAAGTACATACATACATCTATGAATTCCTTTCATTAGTTTAAATTTCAAACCTTCGAATTATAGACTCTATTGATGTCGTGTAAATCAGCTTGTGAAATTACCATGATTGGATCGAAAAAAGAAAAATGTATTTGGCTTTATTAAATGTTTTCTTTATAAATATTGTGTGAATATTCACTTAACCCCTGAAAGAGTAATTTTTCAGGAATACAATAGGTATGCAAAAAAAGTGTGTGGCAACTTGCATTTGTGATCATTCGATTATCTGCCATTATTATAATTTATAATATATTTTACATTGTTTATATAAATATATACATATAAATATATATATTGTATGTATTATATCTTATACATATATATAATATAAATATATAATATATATTGGAGGCTGGACAATTAGACAGTCGAATTAACCAATGGCATTAGATGATAAATTGGACAATTGAATTGACCAATGATCTATATAAAGTCATTTTTTTCGTCAAGAATTTTAATTGATTTGATGACGTAATTACAAATAATATAGTATATATGGTTAAATGCAGTCGGTACATTGGCTATAATACAGTATATCACGTGTTCATTAATGTAAAGTCATTTACTGACAAGTGACATTAATTTAGCATGTTAGTTTTAGCATATAATTCGATAGTTTATCGGTAAGATTTATTCCAAAAGTCTAAACGTTCTTTTATTTATAGAAAAGTATCTTTTACTAACTTTTTCAAATTAGTCAGCAATTATTGGAAAAATAATATGAGGCAGGATTAAAAGTGCGCATAAGAGGATTACGGAAGAGGTTGAGAAAAACAATCGAATAAAGTGAGAATAAAGGCTGGATACCTTACAAAAACAAAATATAAAATTAGACAACTCGAAAGGGATAATAATAAAGCTCAGGAATCGAATAGTAGCTCTTAACACAAGCCTATAGCACTAACGATCAATCCCTGTTCGGTATACAATATTTTGACGAGTTATTTCACTTTTATATAGACCATATGGTGATAACATTCATGTTTCTAGTAAGATACGAAAGCTTGATAAATTTTTTTTTCCTTAAAAAAAAAGGAAAGCTTTCATAAAAAAACGAAAGCCTTTTTAAATTAAAAGTTAAAAAAAAAACGGGTCTTGAAAAAAGCTAAAAATAATTTTTTTAAAAAAGACGCGTAAAAAAACCATAACTCTATTATATACCAATTAATAAACTTCTAATTTGATCATCATTCCTTTTTTGTACATACTGTTATGATCTGTAAAAGAAAACATACTTTAAATTAATATTGTTTTCCTCATAACTTGTTCTTTACTCTATATAAAATATAGGATAATATTGGCACTTGTCCTAATTTAGCTATTAAAAGAGGATTGCTTAAATTTTATAAGTCAGTAAATTCATTACATATGCACGTATCAAATCAAATTTGATTGCTCGATGAATTGTTCATTAGTATTTGTGTTAGTGTTTTAAGACGGCTATAGCAGCCGTGGCTAAGCCAGCTAATATAGTACGGTTGATTGGCTAATGCGGCTACAGATCACATGATTATGAGTATTAAAATTACGAAAAATTCCAAAGAACAAGAGCAAAAGAACAGGAGGAACCGTCGATGTTATACGACTGATCCTTTATCCGGTGTGCAATATATAAAAAATTTATATTACAATACCAGATTATTCAGATAGCGCATGTTATAATTATAATCAAACACCATTCTTATTATAATAAAATAATGTTGGACTATATCATAACGTGTACTATTTTATGTGTTGCACACCAGGTGTCAGATTCAATAATTTGTAAAGTTTCGAAAACTTTCGTAAAATAAGTTGTTGGCCAGCCTCTTACCCGATGATTTAGTCGGCTGGCTAAGCAGACCGACTACTAAACCAATGTGGCTTAATACACTAGTCAATATAGCCACCTCCTGACCGACTCAGTCAATTAAATAATTTCGTGATTTTAATCAGACGATTGTTCTTATAAATTTACTGGTCAACAAATATTGCTCACGAAAAAAATTATGTCTGGATAAATTATTGATTTGATAATAAGGAATTCAAGCTCCTGAATAACTTAGCCGACTAAGCTGATGACATTTCAATGACTCAATTGATATGCATTTAGTCGATCGATTTCAATCGCTACTGCTTTATTGAGTAAAAATATTTGATCAAATTTGACTTGATTTTGTGGAGTACTAATATTACTGTACTTATTGAATACTTTTTTTTGAACAGCTTGGTTAACTTCTTAGCGCTAGTTAAAAGCATCAAAAAAAAATATCAGCTTTATGTATGACGTGTACATTAATTCAGGATACTGAAGCTATATTAAAACAAAATATAGGGAAAAAGGGAATAATTTAATGAAGACATTCAACAGATACAGTATATTGTAAATTCTTAAGTGTTTTTCATGTATAAAATTAAATTTGCTATGGAAACAGCTTGTTGACATGGAAGAGTAGCTCATATATTCATAAATTGCTTATAAATTTTTTAATGATCTCTATAGACAATACAGTATAATAGCTTATCATATGGGTTAACAACCCTCATACAAATAGTTTACTATCTTATATAATAGCTTATAATATGGGTTACCAACCCTCATACAAATAGTTTATTGTCTTACATCATAGCTTAAAAACCACACATTATCTAAAAATAAGCCACCTAATATCGCAGAATATCGAATAATACCGAAAAATCTCGAAAAATATGCCACACATTATCGAAGAATGTCGAAAAATATGCCACCCGATACGAAGAATGTAAAAAAAATAACCATAATTCGGAATCCTAAACGAATAATTAAATACTGAAATAGAATAAACTAATTCATTGAGTTCTAAGGAAAGTAATTAAAACCCATAAATTGAGCCCAATAAAGAAAAGTAATATCATCAACACTCAATGAATAAATATATTCGTTATGTTGCAATGTAGGATAATATAAAATAGGGACATATTGTATTAAAGGAACATGTTGATAAGGTACAGATTCTGCTTCTTGTGGAATTTGCTGTAATTTTTCCATATTGGGGTCATATACAATCGGGTATGTTTTCGCAATTTGCCTTCTTCTCTGTAAAAGCTCATCTACTTGTTTTGAAACTTTTGCGAGAGCCCTCCTAATCTTCGGGGGTTCCTTTCTCCAGGATTCAGCAGCTAGCTTCGATATGCTCGTCATTTTTTGCTTCACTCCGCTTGCTCTTGCACGTTTCGTATATTCTTGTCTATATAAAAAGAAGGCGTTCATGTTTTTACCATTTTTGTAATGACTTCTCGCAAGTTCTTCTATGTCAAACTGCTCAATTTCTGAAATACTTAACATCTTTATGCGCGTAAAGAAGGACTAAAAGACTTGCAGAACTTTTTTTAGGGTTTTTAAGAGATATCTATCAAAGAGCAAACTTAGATATCTATCCAAAAGTAAACTTTCGAAGTACCTATTTATATAAAAATGTTCACTAGAATCCACAAATAATATGATTGTGTAATCTTAACCGAATAATAGATGGTCAATTTTTTTCGTAATTATATATATTTTTATAATAACTTACTTTTATGTTTAAAGTACATTCATTTTGTAAGCTACTTTACAAATTACCCAATTAAATAATAGTGATTTGTTACAAAGATCATTCCATTTTATCACGTATATGAATAAATATAATGTAATAAAATAGAGCTCAAATGAGACCTTTTTTTTTAAAAAAAAAAATGCGCATTAAATTTATGTAACATTCACCTGAAAAGTTAGCTTACAATGAAAACGCGTCCCACGTAAGTAAACTCGGGTACTGGTAATATATAGCGCGTTTTCTTTATTAGTTGATGTATCAAACTCAGGTTTCTATAAAACTAAATGAAGAAATCAATTTATTCACAAAAATAATTCTAATATCACACAGTACAACTATAATACCATCTTTTCAAAGTACACACATACATCAAACATCTCAAAATTACTTCCTATTGAAAAATAATAATATACTCGGTATACTCGGCGTGTAAATTATAAGAAAAATCATAAAGTATATTTTTCAAGTATACATTTATATTTTTCCGCGGAATATTGATATAGTCTATCGTGCTCCAAAATTACCAAATTTCATATACGCCAACATCCCGCAGGATTTACTAAAGATATTTGTGAAAGGTCCTACATCCCATTGATTGTTTTTTCCTTATCTAGATTTCATTTTTTTTCGGGTTTATAAATTTCCCGGATGAATTAGTCATTCGTAGAGCTTTTTTTCGCCAATAATCTTCATATGACATCGTACTAGAAAAATAAATCTATGTGAAATTGTTTTCTTTAATAATCAAACAAAACAATTATACTGAAATCAATTGAAAATTATTTAAAACAATTCCGGTTCGCTGATTGCTAATCTTCTTTCATTATGAACTTGATCTGGAATCAAAGAATGCGGCGACTTTAAAATCATTTATTTTAATACAATATACGTGATTATGCATGCGGTTCAATAGTGGCTTTTCTTAAATCGGGCTAGTTGATCACTACCGCAATTGATTATCACAATAAAATCAACATCACGTGATAAATTGAAATTTCATATGTCATCGAATAATGTACGTAGTAACCGCTTATTTTTTAAAAATTTTTCCGGTGAACAAGTCGACTGCCTACGGAGTTGAATCAATAAGTCGCCGATGTCAAGAACTTATCGATTCAGCCTTGGGCAATCCTTTCCTTTGTCTTCTTTTGTCTTAAAAATTTATGAAAACAGTTGTAACGAATGGGCTATAGCTCTATTAACAAATTTTCGAGTGATTTAAGTAAAATTCATTAATTCTTGGTCCGGAATTTTAGGTACTTCTTGTTTGAGTTATCCTTATTAGGTAATGAATCCTACTACGGTTCACCAAGTCCCTTGTCATCAAATTACAGTCAACTACGGATATAACATACATGTATATAACGAATAAGGGATATAAATACTATTTATTTCCCTAGGACAGTGGAATAAATAGCTGTTCCCGTTTCATATGACTGCATGACATGACTCATGATACTAAACATTTCTATCTGTACTTTCTTTGTCTTTACAATTTTTTAAATTTTTTGGAAAAAAATAAAAGTCCGGGGTGATAACAAATAAGTCTGGAAAAATCTATTATATAATTTGCGACAGGTAGATAAACACTATGAGATAAACATTATGAGATAAACAATATGAGATAAAACTGTGATCTGATTGGCTACCTTTATAATTAGACCCATGTAACTTATTTATATACATTATAATATTTTTTGTAAAACTAATAACAGTATATATAATACTTATAAAATTTAACCTCTATATAAGCACAACCTCTTTATAAGCATTAAATTCTTAAAACCAAGGTTGTGATTATAGAGGGAAAAGACTACATGTGCACCTGTGCAAAGCACGGGTTTTCAGCTAGTAACAAATAAGACAAAAAAGAAAATTTTGGTGATAAAATTTCGATTAAGAATACATAAATCCATGTCATGTAATCATAATGAGATGGGGAATACCGAAGTTTATTAATTATAAATCCATTATAACTGATTTTTTGAAATAAATCAAAACTTCATAGGTAGTATTTATGAATTGAAGCTAGTTTAATTATAAAATTGACATAATAAATAATATATATGTTCTGAGTCATTTCATGATTTAGGTTGATTCCGAATTGTCCTAGGTCATTCTTGAATTTTGAAATGACCAAGATTATTTCTCAATTGGTGAAATCTTAAAAAATTTAAAATTGTGTGCCCAAGAGATAAATTATATACTCCAAGCAATAATAATTATATTATTAAAGTTCTTTCACATGAAAAAAGAAAAATTTCATATAAAGAAATTTAAAACTTATAAAAATTCTTTATAATAAAATTTAGCTATATTAGAAAAAAAATGCTTTAATGCTTAAAAGAAGAAAAAATCACATAATAAAAAATTCATTTATAATTAATAAAAATAAAACACAATAAAACTTTCGTATATTTAACAAAAAAATGCATATTAAACATATAAAAAAATTTCACATAATGTAAATTTAAGAAAACTTTACATCGATTTAAAAGTTTTCGACGGGACAAGCTTGCGTCCCCAGGTCGTATAAAGTTCTTCAGTCGCACCAATATAAATGTCTTTAAATTTGGGTTCCGTAAGTCGTTGGGATTTTTAAATACAGTTAAACATTGATTATACTTATGTTGATCCATTAAACAGCAATTGTTTTTCCTTTGATGAATAAAAGCTTTTAATATTCGATCAAAGGTTTCACGAGCCAAAAAGTTGTAACTTTACATTTTTAAAAATTAATAAGAAAAAAAAGTTGTATTTATTGATAAAGTTAAACATTCAAAAGTTTTATTTATTTTTTTGCATTAATTAATTTGATATACGTAGTAATTCTGGGTTCGAAATTTTTATTAAGTTTCTGGATCAAGTGACGACCCTTCCTGGGGTGTGACCAATCATCGGCGTGACAAATAAACACTAACTAATTTACATATAGGCTAAGTTTCTCGTGAGTTTTATTCAATTGAATTTATACAGTTTTGAGTACTTTACAACCCCTGATAGTAAATTTTTTTGGTTTAATTATTAAGAACCAGTTAAACTACTCTTAAAGATTTTTCAAAGAACGCTTTAAGTATCTTGTGTATCTCTAGGATCCACTACATCTAAGCATACCTCATTAAGAAATGGATTTCAACCTTGAGGAACGACAATGTGCATGTAGCTTAGTGATGGCAGAAAAAATTCGCGAAACATGTGATCGCCGAGGTCGTTCGTGTAACCTATAATCTCAATACCGAATACAAATTATTAAGTTTTAATATTTGTATGTGTAAATTAAGGTATCACTTTTCATTAACATAATCTCAATATACTTAACTAAATTTTAGAGTTGCAAATATATTTGTCTTTATTAAACAGAGATAGAAATACTAAGAAAAAAAATAAATTTAAGATTTAATTACATTAAATTTTCAAATAAATGAATAATTAAAGCACGTATCTCTATTATATTCATTAAAGTGTAAATTTCTAAAATAATTATATTAATATGATTTAATATCTTACAATACTATTATAGGTAAATGCTATTTACACTTACTGTAATCAAGAGATTAATTTTTCTTTTTTTTTGTAATTTTGAAGTACTTTGTTTGAGTTCTTATTCTAAGAACTTTAGTGCATATAGTAGTCTTGTTACCTAAGAGTTATATATGTCTCATAAAGCTTATCAATTTTTACATTATTATTTATGATGGTTATTAATGTTTCAAATGTTTTTAAATCTGAAATTAATTTTATTTTTCTATTTTTAATAGTTTCATAATACTTAAGAATAGCAAAATTAATGTCATAATTACTTGATGTTTCTGATATAAGAATTTTACAGTATTATTTTGTTGCATGTTATTTTAAGAATTATTGTTTCAATTGATTCTTGAAACATTTGTATTAAAAGTAATAAAAAGATAGTTATAATAGTGCATAGTGTAGAAAATTGTAAAAAGAAGAACAGATTTAATTTAGAATATTTTTCAATTAAGTGTTTATGTATCATATTAAAATTTTGCAAGAAGGTGAAGCAAAAACAAATTCAACATTTATGTCAATATAGTAACAGTTTACTATATATATGTTTTTTTTATAGCAAATTTTTAGTTATACTTAAATATTTTTCTGTATAATAGAAAATCATAGTTATACCAAATTTTTTCTAAGTATTTTTTATATTAAGTATAAGTTCTTTAATAATAATTTTTGTTAATTGATTATATATGACAATTAGAATAATATTTGTAATTGTATTTTAGAATATGTCAATAAAACTCAGTAATTATAATAATCCTAAAAATAAATATTGTTTTTAAATAAGTTATTATTGCAAATAAATATCAATTTTTTATATTATATCAGTTTATTCACAAGTACCTTCAAAGATTACTAAGATTTCTTTAATAATTAACTAATAGATTTTCAAAACACTATGATGTAAAATTTTTTTTTTGTAAAAAAATTATTCTTATTTATCAATATAAGAAAATGTTGTAATGCATATTTTGTTATTATATTTAATAGTTCTTTTCTAAATTTTTTTAAAGATAAACATTACTTTACTATTTTTTAGATAACCAAATTGGATCAATGAATACAAACTAGATAAGTACTTTATTTACTTTATATATATATATATATATTTTATTAAATAATACTTAAGTAGAAACTTTATTATATATAGAAACATAAGTTCTAAATTTAAAGATTTTTAAACTACATTTGTGTTACAATTAGGCACTCAATATAACATTACACC